CAGATGAACTGGTTTTTAGCGAGTGTGGTCAAATATCGCATTTATTCAATGCTTGTTATACAATTAGGAAGGGGTATCAAACAAGAAGGAATAGCAACAGAAACAAAACGTCTCAAAGACCCGGACTCTCCTCCTTGGGGCCCTTTTCATCTTTGATCCATTCATCTTCAACGTCCATCTCCTCCTTAGGAGTGCGTTGAGCCGCAGCAAGTAGTACCTCTCTCCTCTCTCGATACCACTGATCGAGACAAGCTCTCCGCTGCGCCTGGGTCATACCCTCAACAACGAGCGCAAACTCCGTAGCATCGGCGTAGCCAAACCGCCGCGCCATACTACAGAACTGGCGACGTATGACATCTTCCGGGGGATGGTACTTGAATCGCATAGGTTCCTCTGCCGGCTGGGAGAAAGGCTGTGAGGACATGAAAACCTTATGGTCACCTGTCGTGTCATTTTGAGCCAGTTCAGCACGACGACTGAGGTCTTCCTCGACACGCGAGGAACCGATCACTTCATTGTTGAGGTGGGTGTATTCCACGCCTGCGCTTGCGAGAATCGCTTGAACGGGGTCGTGTTTATGTGGTGTTGGAAGATTGGCTGAAGGCTTGTGGTCTTTTTCGTCATCGTCGCCGCAGATCATCGCCGCGAGTTGGCTCATTGCCTCGTCTTCCGATTTCATTGGTCGGTCGGTGTAGTCGTAGCCTTCGTCTTCTGCTTTGAGATCTATGTCGACGACTTCTACCCCCGCACGGCTTTCAGCAACATTTGTTCTGTTGACGATGTCGCGCAGAACGATGTTCGTGTTCTGATACCCGAAGAAATTCTTTAGACCAAAGATTTCACCCTTTTTGTCTTTGTTTTCTTGGACGCCTTTGAAATATCGACGCTCTGAGCTTGCGTTGTATCCAATATTTGCCTGTTGCTGCTTGTAGATCTGTCGAGCGTAGACGATTTCTTCAATCGTGCCGGCAGAAATTAGCCGGAAGACTTCCACGTCGCGAAGTTGCCCTATGCGATAGGCCCGGTCCTGGGCCTGCAAATCGTAGGACGGGTTCCAGTTTGGGTCAACAACTACCACTTTGTTTGCCGAGGTGATGTTCAACCCAACACCACCAGCCTTGGTTGATATTAGGAAAACAAACTGTCGCGAGTCGGCATTGAACTCGTCTACAGCTTTTGCGCGGTCTTGTAAACTCATAGATCCATCCAGGTAGCTGACGTTGTAGCTGGTATGGTGAAACAGCATTTGCAACATCTTAAGAAGACGCACGCTATGCGAGAAGATAAGAACTTTGTCTCCATTCGAATGCCACCACTTAAGTAGCTTCCGTAGAACCTTCCATTTACCGCAAAACTCAGGGTTCGCGTAGTTGACGATCGAGTCGCGCGAGCGGTAAAGATCTTCCCATTGTTCAGGCAGCGCAAGTTCCAGGTAATCTCTATCCTTTTCCTGCTTCTCCTTTGGGTCTACTCCTTGCGGAATCAGGATTGCTAGGTGATTGCTGAGCTTTTGAAGCACATTAATAGCAGGGAACACATAGGACTGCCAGGTTGGAGGGTCTCTATCGGGGATAAAGCGACGACAACACCAGCCGGCCTTCTTGCCCGACCTACAATCACATGGTTCCGTAGATGTCTTGATATAATCGACGATGTCACTGTCAAGGAAATTCTCGTAGGCCTCGGCTTGTGTCTCGGTCAGAGGACAGAAGACAACCCGATCAATTTTTTTGGGCAGCTGATCCGCAATCAAGGACTTCATCCTCCTGATGAAAAATTGTGGAAGCAAGTTCTCAACCAGCTTCTTGGCTGTTCTCCGTGCTCTACTGAGCTCACTCAGGGTGGCATCGTGCGATTGTCCGATCTTCAGTGGGTCCGATATTTGTGCCTTCCAGGTGCTTACCGGACCTAGAACACCGGGGTTTGTCCAGTTGAGAAGGGTCCATAATTCTTCGTATTTGTTCTGGATGGCCGTGCCAGTGAGCCCTATCCGACATAACGCATTGATCTCGTTCATGGACTGGGTGGTACCCGACTTGCGCTCCTTAATCTTGTGGCACTCATCTGCGATCACGCAGTCCCATTCAACCATATTGACGGATTCTTTATTGTTCATGTAAGTGGTGTATGTGGTAATCAGGACTTCCACCCTCCCTGATTTCGCCGCATCGAGGGCAAGATCCTTGTTCTCCCCATGGTAGCTATCAACATGCCACCATCCCCAGCGCGCGAACTCAGCCCTCCAGTTTGCGATAAGTGTTCCCGGGCACACGATGAGCGTGCGTGGATACCAAGCGCCGTCATCAGATCTGCGCATCTTTCGCATGCGCTTTGCGTCACGTTCGTCCCCCGTCTTTCCATAGGCAGCGGTCAAGAAAGCAATCACCTGGATAGTTTTTCCAAGACCCATGTCGTCTCCTAGAACACCACCCTTTTGATATACAAACAGCTCGTGGAGAAACGCGACCCCCTCCACTTGATACTGCCGTAGCCACTGGGCGATCGGGGCGGGAATAATGCCCATAGAATATGGCAGTTCGATGTCCTTGTACTCTTGCTTATGTGCGTTATCCGGAAAGGCAGGTCTTTCTTGCAGTTCTTCAAGACGTTCATCATCAGAGAAATCCACATCATTGTAGGTGGGTGGCAGCTTCAGTCCGTGATCTTTCAGATGTTCATGATTCTGGTCGAACTGACTGCGGCGAGTTTTAAGATACCCAGGCAAGGCATCTTCTACCAGCTCATCCTCCGAAGCTACTTCGCCCCATTGTTTCAAAGGCCGCTTCGGCTGAGGCGTTGGTCGCTCTTGCTTTACTCGACCAACGATTGGATCTCCCCTGGGAATTTTGGCCTTGCGAGTTGCTGCGGCAGTTTGTTTCCGCTTGAGGGATTTGCGTTCTTTGAACTTCTTGTACGCCAACTCGCCATCGTTGGCGTCTTCCTCATCGCTGTCCACGGGCTGGATCTTTACAGCGTTTGATGACCCCGAAAGAAGAGTGCGCGGTGAATCTTGCTTAACCGGTGTAGCAGCCTCGCGTTTCACACCAGAAAACCTGCCTTGAGAGAATGTGAGCTGTCTATCAAACGCGTCGAGGAGGTGTCATACTGCTAGGAGTTGGAGTCGCATAGTGCGTCACCTCCAAGTCGTCATCATCTGAATTGATGGTAATGATATCATAACCGGTTTTATTATCGGCCATTTTATCTGCAATTCTGAAAACAGAGCTCAAAAGGTGACAGCGTAAGTTGAAGGGAGTACCAGACTGTCGCGACACGATGTAGCTTACGGTAGACGATAACGGCCACGGAACGAACTTGAATATTTCACTCGAGATAGCTTCAATTGAACATTTTTTAATATAGAATTTGATATCCTGTTTCGTTTCCCATCTCAAACAGAATTGAGTCTCTGTTGATATTTCCTCAAGTGCTCGAAGAAGTGGTTGAAACTGTCCATAGAGTTGTTCCACGAAGTCACGTGCCAGCGAATCAGAAAAAAGATGCTCTCATTGGGTTGGCATTTGATTCTTTGCATATGCGATAAAGCCAACGTGAGTCCAGAATAATATTCTACGTCTGACATTGCTCAATCAAGAAACGTCTGACTAACCAAAGCCCACAGGGAACACAAAATAAAGATTGGCCTCCTGCTTAACATACCCTCTTCTCGCTCAAGACAACTCTCGTTCTTATCAGACTCAATCCGCAAAGATGCCGCTCGACACCTCGACGACATATCCCCTGACACGGCTGCGCCTTGATGGCCGCCGCTGGAATGAACTCCGTCTGCTCCAAGCTCAGATCTCAACCAACCCTGCTAGCTCCGGCTCTTCATACCTGTCCATGGGCAACACATCAATCATGTGCTCTGTCCACGGCCCCGCCGAGGGTCGCCGAGGAGATGGCGGAGGTGGAGCTGCAGGAAGTGGTCATGCAGTTGTGGAAGTAGATGTCAACGTCGCTGGATTTGCCGGCGTAGATCGCAAGCGGAGAGCCGGTGGAAGTGACAGGTATGCACCCTCTTATGCTTTCCCATTACCTCCTCATACCATATGGGGAGAGTTACAGGGACAGCAGACTAGATCCAAGTACGGCCAATGCTAATCTCAACCTCCCCGGACTACAGACAATCATCACGAATCGCTACAACCCTCCGCTCAGCTTTCCAGTCTCACCTCCACACCTACCTCTACCCCCACAGCACAATCAGCATTCATGTCTCCGTTCTCTCTGCCGACGGCTCATTGCTCGCCGCGGCAATCAACGCCTGTACGCTAGCGCTTGTGGACGCCGGTATCCCCATGCCAGGACTACTCTGTGGCTGTACTTCCGGTATGAGCGGTAGCGCCTCTACACCGCGTGACCCGCGACACGACGAGCTTGATCCACTTCTGGATCTGTCACTCCCAGAAGAACAGGAACTTCCTTCACTCACTGTTGCGACGACGACGGCAGTGCCCGTTGGCGAGAACAATATGGATGATGATGAAGAGGCGATGAAGGTGTGTGTGCTTACTATGGAGTCTAAGGTGCACGCTACGTACCTTGAGACAATGTTAGCGGTCGGGATCGATGGGTGCAGTCAGATCCGCGAATTGTTGGAAGGTGTTATCAAAGGATCGCGCGGTTGACGCAGAAAAGAGAAAAGAAGAAAAACAAAAACAAAAAGGAGGTTTCAAATGGGAGAATAGTTGAAAGTTGATACCCTTGTCTTACGTTTAATGTTACCACATGTGCTGAGAGAATTTGCTCAAACCGCCTCACTAAGTTTTTAGGGCCAATCTATAAATCTGCTCATATTGCACTCATATTAGGGCACATAATGTGATGCCCATTTCTATTCTATTTCCCGCGTTCTATTCTTTTGTTTATATATTATTATATTTTGTACTAATTTGCTTTTCTTTCTGTTTTGACTCGATCAACACAAACACTCTCCCAATCCAGTGCTCGAAAGGTCCCCAGTCAAACCGTCGATCATGGATATGCACGGGATGACCATGGCGACAGCCACGTCGACAGCCTCGGCAGCTACTGCCAGCAGCACCGCGATGGACATGAGCGGAATGGACATGGGCGGTGGCTGCAAAATTTCAGTTCGTTGAATATCAATCTCAGATTCACTACATTAAATGCCCTTACTGACAACCATGATCAGATGCTTTGGAACTGGTACACAGTTGACTCATGTACGTAGCCCAATAACCCCCTCTATACAAGCCCGAAAGACAAACTAACCAACCCCCCCAGGTTTCCTCGCCGAGTCATGGCACGTCAAGTCTCGCGGCATGTTCGCTGGTTCATGCATCGGAGTCATTTGTCTCGTCCTGAGTCTTGAATTCCTCCGCCGTCTGGGTCGAGAATACGACTCGTTCATTGTTCGTCGAGCCCGTCTTCGACGACTCTATATGTCAGACTCTCCCACTGCGCAGTCCATCTCCAACGTTCCCCTGCGAAGCGATGAAAACACCTCCAAGCCGCCCGGTAACTGCTGCGGAAACGCAGATCCCGATGCAGAAGACGACATCATCACTCCTGTGTCGGGTACCCCCCAGGACGGAGCATCGAAGAAACAGGCTTCTGTCTCTGCTGCTGTAGCACCGGCTAATGTCATACGTGATGTTGGCATCCAGCGCATCGAGAGACAGGAGACCGTGCTTGCACCATATCGTCCGTCGCTTGTTGAACATACTGTGCGCTCTTTGCTTCACATGACGCAGTTTGCAGTTGCGTATATCATCATGCTGCTTGCCATGTACTTCAATGGGTACATCATCATATGTATCTTTATTGGTGCTTTCCTGGGAGCGTTTATCTTCTCTTGGGAGCCGGTGAACTTGAATCAGGAGTAAGTTGTTTCATCCAGTGTATATTAACCACATACATTACCATTACCATTACCATACTAACATGTTTTTTTCAGGTCAGATGCTACATCCGTCACCAAGTGCTGCGGTTAAACCAGTGTCTTTGCACCTTGTTTTGTCTTAACCACACGCGCTCGATTCTACAGCATTTTTAGCGATATGGTTTGATATCCCGGTATTTGTTTTCTCTTCCTTGGAAAGGCAGAGGGCAATATGCACATTCTTGCGTGCACATTTATTTTTTCTTGTTCCTTGTTCCTTGTTTCTTTGTATCGGGTGCATGCGCCTCGGGCCTGATCCCACCCATAATGCAATGACGTATGAACCCTGTTGTCTATCTCAATTACTTTCTACTAAATTAGACCCTCATAATAAATGGAATAGACTCAAAGTAGACTATGCATAGAATGGAATTTTATTAATATCATACAAAACTTCCATTGGAAGAGGTGGAAACCTTTTCCACTAAGAAAAAAAAAAAAAAAAACCTGCCATCTCACGCGGGGTACGGTGATGTAGTTGGCCCACGGACCCGCGATCAAAGTCCTGGAATCACCAGACACGTGGGGGTCTCTGCTTGGGAAATGCAAGGGCGAGACTTGTAATAGGATAATTACGACGATCAATTTCGTGCTTTACGGTGATGGGCCTGGAATATGCATTGGTTGAGATGCAGGTTTCAGGAACTTTGGCTTTGCGCCTGCCTCTATCTTACGAAGGGTTGAAACATGCTTATTTTTACACTAATCCACAAATTGAACATCAAGTCCCCACGACAGAAAGGCATGTATGAGCTAGCTGGGTAGAAACTTTAGATTACAAGGCGCAAAAGGGAAAGCCACCTATGCTAGTCCCACGCCGGACTGGGGCATTGGGAAAGAACCTTCATGACGAAAAGAAAGACGTTCATCCTCCCAACACCCAACTAAATCTCCATAATGAGCTTTTTAGTTGCCACCGCAGTTGACGATGGTGGGCTTGATAGCGGAGCGGAGGGAGCCGGAGGAGGAACCGAGAGCCTCGATCTCCTTGACAACGTTCATGGACTCGGCATCAGCGACCTCGCCGAAGACGACGTGCTTGCCATCGAGCCACGAGGTGACAACGGTGGTGATGAAGAACTGGGAGCCGTTGCTAGAAAAAAAAAAAGGATATGTTTAGTATGGCTTCGTGTGTAGACCAGCTGGGATACAAATTGGAGGCTATGAGACTTACGTGTTGGGGCCAGCGTTGGCCATGGACAGAAGACCAGGGCGGGTGTGCTTGTGGACGAAGTTCTCATCGGGGAACTTCTCACCGTAGATGGAGCGACCACCGGTACCCTATTCCGGTAAAAAAAAATCCAAAGTCAGATACCGAGCATTGCAGCGACTATCAGGATTAGAAAGAAAAACTCACGTTGCCACGGGTGAAGTCACCACCCTGGAGCATGAACTGGGGGATGACACGGTGGAAGGAAGAGCCCTTGTAACCCTGACCCTCCTGGGCGTTGCAGAGCTCAGCGAAGTTCTTGGCGGTCTTGGGAACCTCGTTGGCGAAGAGGTTGAAGTTGATGCGGCCAATCTTGGCTAATGAGGAAATCAGCATCAATTTCAATTCCAATTAATGCATCACGATGGGTAATTGCCAAGCTTTAATACTATGATTGAAAGCTGGAGGTTCAAGGCAGCGAGGTAAGATTGAGGCGGGGAGGCAAAAACTCGCTGCCCCGCCAGAAATGAGAATAACAGAGCTGATGGGGAAACTTACGGGTGGAGGAGCCAGCAGGGGCGTACTGGACCTCGAAGAAAGCGCTGGTGTTGGACATGGCGGCGGTTGATGAAGCGAAAGTTCGTGCAGCGGGGTGGAAAGAAGTGCAATTGAAGAGAGAAGAAGAGAAGAGGGAAGAAGGTGGGGTTATTGACCTCAGTCGGCAGAACATGGTGAGGGGCAGGGCGGAGCGGGTGAACTCGGGTGCCGGGCTACTTTGGGGTTAGCTTGTTGAGGTCCACATAAAGACCACTTGTGCAGTTCCTGCCTGAGGCTCCACTTTGTAGCTTCTCCAGACTCTCCAGGGGGTAAAACATGGCTGCTTCTGTTGCCTAAAGATGTCGCCGAAAGAGTCTGAAACAAAGTGGAAATGCACTCTAACATTCACATGACAAGGGACCAAGCTCACTTACAAAGGTTATATAGATTGATGGAGAATGCGAATTAAAGAAGTAGAAAGAAGGAAAAAACCGAAGCTCCATGCCAAAAAGCGTCTAGAGCTCCGTGATTATGTAATGTCTTCCGGGACATCCCTTCCGAACTAGCAGTCTTGGCTACAGAATATATGCATCTATAAGGGGGTAAACTTGCGTTGATTATTGGTGTAGTCATTAAGCTGAAGATATATGGAGTACTTTCATTTCACCAATATGTATTCAAAATGCAAGAAAATAACAGCCTGGCACCAGCAAGCGATCGTGAGATGTAAGAAAAAAGTAACAAATCAACAGGCCGAAAACCGTAGATGAACAATGGAAAAGGGCTAAATAGAGTACAAAAAATAAGAGAATATGGAAGAAAGGAAAGTGACGACAGGGAAAGAAGCCCCATAAATGCCACATATGTCGGGACATCGTTTCGACGTTGTCCACTCGTTGCCATAGATGAATAGTCGCTGAAAAGCAAGGGGCAAAGAAGGAGTATAAAAAAAAGTTGGGCAAAGAAGGATAAAATCGGTAATCCCGAGTTCATGCCATGAGAAACAATGCATCGGATCAAGTTGATCACCGGAAGTCGTCTTCCTCGTCAGCAACTACCGATGTGGCCTCGAGGCGCTGAACAAGGTCTTTAGTCTGCCGAGCGATCTCAAATGCAAGGGGTGGCAGTTTATTCGTGATTTCACGCAATTGCTCAGGGGTGGTGGCGTCTTCACCCTCACTGGCAGTGGCCGTCAACCGGCCGCGGAACTGATCCAATGCCGCGATGACCGGTTCAGATGCCTGCCGCAAAGCGATGTCTCCGCTGCGTTCGCGCATCAGGTGCTCTGTAGCAGAAACCACATTCGCAACGACGTTTGAAATGGCAGAGACGTGCGTCTGGACAGTATGCATGTTGTCCTCCGCCCGGATACTGGCCACCAGAGCCTGAATTTGTTGGACCATGCCATCCGTCTGGTCCTCAACATAGAGCTAGGTAGGATCACCTGTCAGTAAATCATTCGTTATGGTATTATCCTTCTCGGGCTGACTCACCTTAAGCTCCAATATCTCGTGGTCTTCTTCCACATGTCCCCAGCCGTGATTGAGATCATTGGTTACATCATTGGTAACACCTTTCTGTACAGGGTACTGAGAGTCATCCGGACGACTAATAGCACTATAGACGGAGTTATTGCTCATCCGCTTTTGACTAGCAGACGTATCAAAATACTCGGGGAATTGCCCCTGAGATACATCCGCTTCGTAATCGTCATCTTCCAACTCATCTACAGGCGATGGGTGGATCTTGACTGCCCGTATCAAGTCAACAATGGCTGTGCAAAGATGAGAGGCCGCCGCATCAAGGAGCGACACCGGAGATAGACCACTAGAGCTGGCAAAGTTGCGAGTCGCGGTGATCATGTTGTTTGCTGTCGTAGACACCTGGCCCTTGACCTTTGCGCGCAGAGCAGCCGACCCATCCACTGGGATCGGGGCATATTCCACGTCCTGGAGAATATGGCGGACTGCGACAATGACCATCTTGCTCTGGTGGAGCACGACGTGCGATTCCTCGAAACGCGCAACTCGCAGGAGCTCGTCCACGGACACTTGGAACCTAGTAACGTGGAAGTCCTTGACCAGTCCGTCGGGTTGCACCAACTCATGCTCTTTGGCAACAAGACTTGCGTCAGGCCGTGAGTCGGCGAAACCACCGGACGACGTGCGAAGATGCCGCAGCTGTGCCTTGACCTTGGCGTAGCGGTTCTTCCATTCGTTGGCATCTGCCTCGAGTCTGTGAACCTCGTTTGAGAGCTGTTCTTCGCGTTCCCAATTGGAGTGACTCTCGGCTGAAAGGGTCTTCATCTCCATGAGGAAAGTCGATGCCTCACGGCGGACTTCGTCGGTCACTTGTTTCTGCTGCTGCAACTCTGCTTGTAAACTCTGGTGCTGAGTCTCTAGATCAACATAGCGGGCTTGGAGACCCGCATCATCGACACCCCGGGAAGAGTCATTGAGCTGGCTGCGAAGGTCCCGTTCCATGGTCTCGTGCTCTGTTCGGACCCGCTCAAGCTCCAGCTGAAGCGAGCTGTTGAGATCCTCGGCTTTTGATACCTTGGTCTCAAGCTCGTGGCGTAAATCGTCCCACTCCTGGCGTTCGTTATGACTGATCCCGGAGGAATCTGCATCTTGTGATGAGTGTGCCAACTCCTCATCCTTGGAGCGGACCAATTCTTCCAACTTTTCAATCTTATCTTGGAGAACCGATACTTGTGTCTGGCTCTCCACTAACAGTCTCCGTTCACTCTCACCTAGGGTCGTTGTAGTACCCCGTCTGCTCAGAACAGCATCTAGACCGAAGGCATCGCTCCGAGCATCATCCTCGTCCTCTGGTCCCATATCGTCGCTATCCTCAACCATCGTACTTTTATTGGGAACCATAGTATTGCTCTGGAAAGACCGAGGAAACGGCCCATCCCCATTCATACTCGGTGGCCCTCCAAGAGAGCCATTGCGGGGAGGGAATGGACTGCCTGGGGGTCCGCCAGACGGGTACCCTCGTCCCATGCGCGAAGGAGGCCCCCGAGAGGAGTGCTGGGAGGTACGAGCGCTGGGAGGGCCCATATTGGGAGGCGGCCGGGGGCGGTATTCTCGGCTCGTGAAATGTGGGAATCGGCGCTCCAGCTCGCAGAAGACATCAGTCGCCAGATCTCGGAAACGAACGTGGTGGAGCGCGGCAAGCTTTTGGCGGGCATGGTTGCGCTTTTCGTGGAAATCGCTGCGAGCGGGTAGGTAAGGAGGCACGTCTGGACGGGGTGGTCGTCCGGGAGGCGGCGAGGCCTGCTGCCGCCGGATCAATTCATCGTAGACATCGGTAGAAAGTTCGTGGAACTGGGTTGGCGATAGTCGCAGCAGTTTATCCCG